TTAGAGATTTCAGACAATTGCTTTGTTCCAAATTGTGTTTTCTTTGTCTTCTTGACCCCTTTCGGGTATTGTCAGCCGAGGTGGAGTTGCGCGGAAAGTGGAGTGTCGGTATTGCGAGGAGTTGCTGTCGTTGTCTTGTGCGGCTAAAACTTAGTTGCAGGCAGAGCCATAGACCAAATCCGCTGCTGGTGTCATGAAGGCTGGTGATTGCGAGTGTTCTTTTTTCCTGGTCTCAGCCTCCACGCACGCCTGGGAGTGAGGGTCTGTCTCGCAGGTGAAGTTGAAGGCCGTGGAGGAAGGGGGGCGTGAAGGCAGGTTTTGATGCGCCTAATCAAATTTAATCAGTAGAAAGTGGGGGAGACCGGTGTTAGGGGTGCCGCGAATATGTGCGGCGAGGTTGGAAACATCATGACGTTTTAGTCGAAACGAGGCTGACATAAGCTTTCCTTATCCCTCGCATGTGTAAGCGTAGGCATTTCCCAACGTATAAAAGGAGTGGTTCAGAATAGTAGTCAAATGGTGGATTCGAACAAACAACTTTTTGAGTTTGGCGGTTCGTATGATTAACCATTAGCGTTGGGGTGCAGTGAGGTGGAGTGAGGTGGAGTGGGGAGGAGTGGGGGCTACCTTGCACGGCGCGGGAGAGTGAGAGCTCGAACATGTCGTGGTGCGCGGCGCCGGCGCCGGCGGGCGACAGCTGCGGGAACGAGATGCCCGCCTCCACCTCCACCACGCGCTCCGTCGGCTGCGCCTCGCTCTCGCTCTGCAACACAACCCTTCCCTTCACTTCTACAACACATCCAAATCTTATTAACTATACGAAAGCTATATAGAAATACGGAAGGACAAACAGACAGAGTAGTGATTTTAATAAGGTTCTTTTTTACCCTTTGCGTATGGAATGTAACAATATACCTATTTAATAATTATTTAAAATATCTATTGAAAATAATTAATGAATTTAAAATTAATTTATCATAACAGTATTGTATGACGAATAACGAAAGTTTGGATAGAATATTGCGTACAATTTCAGCCGCTAAATTTCTTCAATGCACATCGGGACATAACTCTCGATACCCATCCACACCATATGGATGCTTGGCGGTCCACTACTGTGCGATTTACTAGGAATTTTCCTCCTTACAGTACTTCTTTGTGAAATTGTTTACCACCGGCGAATTATCCGGACCAGTACGACTTAGGGATATTCAATCAACAAGTTACAGCTCGAACAGTGCCAGCAGCGCGGCGAGCGCGCGTGTGCGTGTGTATGTACGTGTGCGTGCGTGTGTGTGTACCTGCGCGTGCGGCAGCAGCGAGACGTGCGCGCGCTCGGGCAGCGCCAGCAGCGCGGCGAGCGCGCGTGTGCGTGTGTATGTACGTGTGCGTGCGTGTGTGTGTACCTGCGCGTGCGGCAGCAGCGAGACGTGCGCGCGCTCGGGCAGCGCCAGCAGCGCGGCGAGCGCGCGTGTGCGTGTGTATGTACGTGTGCGTGCGTGTGTGTGTACCTGCGCGTGCGGCAGCAGCGAGACGTGCGCGCGCTCGGGCAGCGCCAGCAGCGCGGCGAGCGCGCGTCTGCGTGTGTATGTACGTGTGCGTGCGTGTGTGTGTACCTGCGCGTGCGGCAGCAGCGAGACGTGCGCGCGCTCGGGCAGCGCCAGCAGCGCGGCGAGCGCGCGTGTGCGTGTGTATGTACGTGTGCGTGCGTGTGTGTGTACCTGCGCGTGCGGCAGCAGCGAGACGTGCGCGCGCTCGGGCAGCGCCAGCAGCGCGGCGAGCGCGCGTGTGCGTGTGTATGTACGTGTGCGTGCGTGTGTGTGTACCTGCGCGTGCGGCAGCAGCGAGACGTGCGCGCGCTCGGGCAGCGCCAGCAGCGCGGCGAGCACGCGTGTGCGTGTGTATGTACGTGTGCGTGCGTGTGTGTGTACCTGCGCGTGCGGCAGCAGCGAGACGTGCGCGCGCTCGGGCAGCGCCAGCAGCGCGGCGAGCGCGCGTGTGCGTGTGTATGTACGTGTGCGTGCGTGTGTGTGTACCTGCGCGTGCGGCAGCAGCGAGACGTGCGCGCGCTCGGGCAGCGCCAGCAGCGCGGCGAGCGCGCGTCTGCGTGTGTATGTACGTGTGCGTGCGTGTGTGTGTACCTGCGCGTGCGGCAGCAGCGAGACGTGCGCGCGCTCGGGCAGCGCCAGCAGCGCGGCGAGCGCGCGTGTGCGTGTGTATGTACGTGTGCGTGCGTGTGTGTGTACCTGCGCGTGCGGCAGCAGCGAGACGTGCGCGCGCTCGGGCAGCGCCAGCAGCGCGGCGAGCGCGCGTGTGCGTGTGTATGTACGTGTGCGTGCGTGTGTGTGTACCTGCGCGTGCGGCAGCAGCGAGACGTGCGCGCGCTCGGGCAGCGCCAGCAGCGCGGCGAGCGCGCGTGTGCGTGTGTATGTACGTGTGCGTGCGTGTGTGTGTACATGCGCGTGCGGCAGCAGCGAGACGTGCGCGCGCTCGGGCAGCGCCAGCAGCGCGGCGAGCGCGCGTCTGCGTGTGTATGTACGTGTGCGTGCGTGTGTGTGTACCTGCGCGTGCGGCAGCAGCGAGACGTGCGCGCGCTCGGGCAGCGCCAGCAGCGCGGCGAGCGCGCGTGTGCGTGTGTATGTACGTGTGCGTGCGTGTGTGTGTACCTGCGCGTGCGGCAGCAGCGAGACGTGCGCGCGCTCGGGCAGCGCCAGCAGCGCGGCGAGCGCGCGTCTGCGTGTGTATGTACGTGTGCGTGCGTGTGTGTGTACCTGCGCGTGCGGCAGCAGCGAGACGTGCGCGCGCTCGGGCAGCGCCAGCAGCGCGGCGAGCGCGCGTGTGCGTGTGTATGTACGTGTGCGTGCGTGTGTGTGTACCTGCGCGTGCGGCAGCAGCGAGACGTGCGCGCGCTCGGGCAGCGCCAGCAGCGCGGCGAGCGCGCGTGTGCGTGTGTATGTACGTGTGCGTGCGTGTGTGTGTACCTGCGCGTGCGGCAGCAGCGAGACGTGCGCGCGCTCGGGCAGCGCCAGCAGCGCGGCGAGCGCGCGTGTGCGTGTGTATGTACGTGTGCGTGCGTGTGTGTGTACCTGCGCGTGCGGCAGCAGCGAGACGTGCGCGCGCTCGGGCAGCGCCAGCAGCGCGGCGAGCGCGCGTGTGCGTGTGTATGTACGTGTGCGTGCGTGTGTGTGTACCTGCGCGTGCGGCAGCAGCGAGACGTGCGCGCGCTCGGGCAGCGCCAGCAGCGCGGCGAGCGCGCGTGTGCGTGTGTATGTACGTGTGCGTGCGTGTGTGTGTACCTGCGCGTGCGGCAGCAGCGAGACGTGCGCGCGCTCGGGCAGCGCCAGCAGCGCGGCGAGCGCGCGTGTGCGTGTGTATGTACGTGTGCGTGCGTGTGTGTGTACCTGCGCGTGCGGCAGCAGCGAGACGTGCGCGCGCTCGGGCAGCGCCAGCAGCGCGGCGAGCGCGCGTGTGCGTGTGTATGTACGTGTGCGTGCGTGTGTGTGTACCTGCGCGTGCGGCAGCAGCGAGACGTGCGCGCGCTCGGGCAGCGCCAGCAGCGCGGCGAGCGCGCGTGTGCGTGTGTATGTACGTGTGCGTGCGTGTGTGTGTACCTGCGCGTGCGGCAGCAGCGAGACGTGCGCGCGCTCGGGCAGCGCCAGCAGCGCGGCGAGCGCGCGTGTGCGTGTGTATGTACGTGTGCGTGCGTGTGTGTGTACCTGCGCGTGCGGCAGCAGCGAGACGTGCGCGCGCTCGGGCAGCGCCAGCAGCGCGGCGAGCGCGCGTGTGCGTGTGTATGTACGTGTGCGTGCGTGTGTGTGTACCTGCGCGTGCGGCAGCAGCGAGACGTGCGCGCGCTCGGGCAGCGCCAGCAGCGCGGCGAGCGCGCGTGTGCGTGTGTATGTACGTGTGCGTGCGTGTGTGTGTACCTGCGCGTGCGGCAGCAGCGAGACGTGCGCGCGCTCGGGCAGCGCCAGCAGCGCGGCGAGCGCGCGTGTGCGTATGTACGTGTGCGTGCGTGTGTGTGTACCTGCGCGTGCGGCAGCAGCGAGACGTGCGCGCGCTCGGGCAGCGCCAGCAGCGCGGCGAGCGCGCGGCGCGAGGCGGTCAGCAGCGCCGCGCGGATCACCGGCGGCTGCGCTGCGGCCGCGCGCAGGAATGTGCTTGCGTGCTCCAGGTCGTCCGCCGTCAGTCCGCCGCTGCCCCCTGCTCGACCGTCACAACCAATCATCATCACCTTTATCACAATTAATCAACAACAACTACAACGACCCGATAGATATGGGACTCTATAACTGTATAAAGAATTTATCACAATCGCACAGTCACACTAAGTCAGTGGTTTGACAATCGCAATACCATTAATATTTTGACATTGGTTTTCTCTACAATATTAAATATTTTTCGTGTGATATTATTTTTAGCTAATACCACAATCGATTTTTACAACATATATATGTACAAGGTAAAGTAAGTAATTAATTCTCATATGTTGCTATTAAATGTTACCCTCGTCCTCATTATTTTAACATTTAAAAACACTGTGGAATAACGGAGTAAACAAAATGTATCGTTGGAAACGGCATAAAAATTAAAAATATTTCATATTGTCTCATACATAACTGTACAATCATCTTAGTGACTTTTAATCTAAGTATTAAGATTAGTAATAAAAAATAAAAATAAACATTTCATATTGCGATAATCAATTCGCTTGCAAAGTGTTACGATTACGAGTAATTTACAAGTACACTATACTTGTATATATATATATATACTGTGGGTGAACGTTGTAAGCAATTGTTAGTCGATCTAGATGCAAGTTGTTGTGTAATGTTATAGGGATATGTTGGTCCTTCGAGCCGGACAAATAAGAGGTGTAGTGCAGGTTATAAGCGAATGTATTGGTACAAGAAGCAGTGCGAGTTGTTGTGAGTGAATATTGACATCGGCGCTGTGCGTAAGGTTATAAGCGAATGTGTTGGTACGAGAAGCAGTGCGAGTTATTGTGAGTGAATATTGACATCGGCGCTGTGCGTACGGGTGCAGCAGCAGTAAGCAAATGCGTCGGTTGTTCGAGGTGGACAGAGCGCACGATGTGCAGGGTGCAATGTGAGTGGAAGTTGGTATGAGCGCGCGTGGGTCGGTGGCGTTGGGCACGGACCTGTGCGGTGCGCGTGGTGCGCGTGGTGCAGCAGCAGCGCGACGGCGCGGTGCAGCGCGCGCGCGGCGGCGGCGCGCGGCAGGCGCAGCGCCAGCTTGGCCAGCGCCGACACGCCGCACGCCGCCGTGAAGCTCTCGCCCGCGCACAGCGCCGCGCGCAGCCCCGCGCCCCGCGCCTCGCCCGCCCCACCCGTCCCGCCCGACCTGCCGCACGCAAACCAACACATATGTGCTAGAGCCACGCTACAGCTATATTAGGCTTGTAACACGATTAGTTCACCTTGACCGGAACAAGACCGCACTCTCACAGAATCCCAGCTCAATGCCGCTGTGTTTCATATGATGAGTGTGAGAAACCGGATACCTTTTTTATGGAAACGAGGCATTCCATCATAATCCTCAAATATGACAAGACATCTCTGCATTTTGCTTCTTAATCAAAAATACATGTAGATGTCTATGGGCCACAGCATCCACTTACCATCAGGGGAACTGCGTGTACGTTTGTCACCCTATCCTATAAAAAAAAATCTACCCCATATTATCCCGTAGGTATCGTAAGAGGCGACAAAGGAAAACTGAAACAGAAATGGGCACCAGCATCTTCCTGATAACAACTGATTATAATAAAAAAAAACTGCGTTTGTCAATCCAACTAAATGCCAAAGACGATAACTGTGGTAAAATGAATACATATCTATCAGGCAATCTATGTTCAGCTATGGACTTTTGATAGGCTGTATTATCTATATAAATAAAATGATAGAGGCTTGTACTTGTGCGCGCATCAATAAACATGTCAATTTGGGATTCATTACTGAGAATATTGGGCAACTTGTCATCCATATTAAATACTTAAGTATAACTACCAGTTCACAACAAATTGTCGCCACGTATTTCATACCATTTCTTTAAATTAACTTTGTGTTTTACCATATTTACCATAAAATAATCAATTACTCCATTTTATCCCGCGAATGTCAGAAAAGACGATAGAAGGAAATTAAAACAGGAGATGAACTGCAAACACTGATGTTGCCAACACACTATGCAATCTATAAGGCAAGCCTATGTTCACCAATGGACTGTTGATAAGCTGAAATGAGAGAATTATGAATTAATTTTGTGTTGTCATTATTATAGGTTCATAAACACTCACGCGGGTAAGTTGAAAGCGGATTGCGAAGCGTAAGTCCCATCACTAGTGACCAACTGCCGAGCCGGCGCCTCCGATTTCTGTGGCGCTGGTACCTCTTCCTCCTGACATTGTTATTATGAAATTACTAATTGTTCTTATAAACAACTAAATTAGTACGAGTACAATGGGGTAATTATTACAAAGATCCATTTACTTTGTGTGTACATCATAACAAATTAATATGAATACACACTACCGCACACATAGACGTTTCAAATAATAATTCGCAACCAACAACAAGGTTTTAGTTTCATAATTGTGCGTTCAAAGTCATGTCAATGCGATGTTAAAGAAATAACTAGGGTGCGTCAGTTTTACGTAACTAATAAACCTCTAAAACCTCCGCTGCGCGCGATGCGTCACAGTTCTCACTCAACGTAAAAAAAATATTTGATCTTTCAACTATCGAGTGGTGTGATTAAATTGTGGATGTAGATGATAGATAATGTAGCTGCAACAACAAACTGTATCCGCCAATTTTGTTATCAAAGTTTTCTGAATTGCCTTTCACTATGGAATCCAATTTAAAGATATATCCACGTCAAAAAAGAAGAGAGATGTGTGTGTGAATGCGTGTTAGGATTTTGAGTTTGGATTCTGTCTGCTTCCTTTGTTGGTTTACGGTTTTAATGAAAACGCTGGTAGTAATACAATTGTTACTGGGTTACATAAAACGTGCAAAATTACATTTTATGAACTTGTTAGTTACGCTACCTTACATTTGATAGCAATTCTTCTGATTTTCGTTTTTTATTTCATTCCGGTTGAATTTCGTAATTGATTTTAAACTAACTTCACGATGAGCTGGAGACTGGAGAGAAATGTTGTACATAGCCCAAAATCGGATGACAATGTAAGATTATCTTTTATTACCTCATTTTTTTTTAAATTAAGTGAAGTTCCAATTCGATTATAGTTTGATCAACTTACTTTATTTGGTTCATCGGAGTTAGGCGTAGGGATGACGGTGCACAGCATTTCCAGGGCGGCTTGAGCCCTTTCTTCCGTTTCAGCGAATTCCGCAACCAACCACAGCGCAGAACGAGCGATTTTGCCCACACGAATGTTGACCACTGATTCCAGAAGTTTCTGCAAATCGTATGGTACGAAAAAATATAACGATTTGAGCATTCTAAGTGGAAGAGCCACGGTGCAGCTGTGTTATGGTTGCAATTTGACTGGCTCGCTGGTGTAATGGTCGTAAACGCGGCTGCTGATCATGTGGTCGCGAGTTTGAATCTCAAAAAATTCTGTAATTGGGTTTTCTGTCAAGAAATTGTCAGTAGCAGCCCGGAATCAGGGAGTTGGTGGCCTTTAAGCCCTTGATCCTGCGCTCCGGTGGTGTCGGATTGACGTCCCTTCGGACTATGAAAGTGAGGGAATACAAAGTTGACCTGTGCCTGCGCATATACTCGGGCATTATAATCCAGTACAGCGCAAATGGTTAATTTCCGTTGAGACAAACAGGGTAATTTATTTTTCTGAGGTTGATGAAATTCGGTCTGGAGGACAGTATGGTTGCAATACGAATGGGTCGGTTCGACCGTGGAAGTTCCACGTTCACAGAGAATACCAGCGTAAACCTTAACTAGAAGGATAATGCTGTTGGGTTAAGTATGCTATCTGATGTTAACGGGCTTTAGACGTAGTAACGCATCTGCATTATGATTCTGAATCGTGGATAGATATAAGTTCTAGATGTTTATCTAATATTACAGCATTTAATTACCATCGGGTGGATTATGTGCTCGTTTGTCGCCCATTCTCGTACAAAAATGGAGAACTTTGAAATATTATTCATAATAAATATTATATATATGTCCTTCAGACTGAATTTCGGTCACGGCGGCCAGCCTGAATGTAAACTAGAGATCGGCGCAGAACAGGATAATAGCGCCAAGTATATGCGCAAGTACAGGTTCCAATCTCTATTCCATCACTCTCATAGTCCGATGGGATTGTAAACGGACAAGACCCGAGAGAGATTAGGTGCAGGACCAACGGCTTTACGTGCTTTCCGAAGCACTGGGGTTAAGACACCGCCAACTTCCTGACTCCGGGCAGCTACTGAGAATTTCTTGAGGGTAAAACTTAATAACTGACTTTTTTGGCCCAACCCGGGATTCGAGCCCGGGACCTCATCATCAACAGTCGCGTTTAAAACTACTAACGAGGCAGTCATAATAAATATAATAATATATGAATCATATAATTAAACCTTTTGAAGCGATCTATGAGGAAGCCTCATGGTTCAGCAGTGGCTTTTGTTTTCATATTATGCTGTAACGAATGAATGAATGTATGACTCTATTCGATACAATTTTTTTTTTCTATTTGGTTTGTTTTATTTTGTGTTCAAAAACTAGCCATTCTCCATACTTTGCTTATGCTCTTTCTCATACTTTTTTCCACATCTTTCCCTGTCTCTTTTTAATACCGATCCCGACTTAGAATGACGGTTAGAAGTCTAAGTAAAAAGTAGCATATAATGTAACAATTTTAATGTTTCAATGGAGAGGTGTGAAGTTTGTAAATACAAATTTTGTGTAAGCTATACTTGTGATTATGATTCTGCGCCGAATAACCAAGTTTTTGTGTAATGTAGACCATATTACACACAAGCTAAGTGTTTGCGTCGACCGGTAACGTTGGTACTATTCCCACAGAATAAAAACAGGATTAGGTTAACTGACAACTTCACTGTCTAAATGACATAATCATGACACGCTGGCATTTTAGCATTGCGTTATACGCCGTTGCGGTTACAGCCATTAAAGTTCACTGTTGAAAATAGGCCTCTCCCTTAGATTGCTTCATAGGGATTATTCCTATGATGCAATTTAATAGGGGGGGGGGGGGGGGGGGGGTATTATAGGTGCCAAAAAGTTTCTGTTTCTGTCGCTTGTCGCGGTTGACACCGCTTGCCAAGCGACAGAAACAGAAACTTTTTTATTCAATATAGATTATAAATAATACTTATTGAAAGTCACTCTTTTGTTTGATTACCACTGAAGAACCAGCAAGAAACCCAGCGGGACTTTTTTTTAAATAACAGCTTACAATCGTGTATGTTAACCGATTCCTTGCGGCACCGATTCTCGACAACTTTTACAGAAGTTGATGACACGCCTATTGTGCCTTCACCCATGTGTAAAATAATTTTCTTTTTTATGCTTTTTTCACTTGTTTAGACCTAAGTAATTAAGTTCAGTTGACATCATACTTGTTTTTAGTGGGTAACTACGTGTTTTTCTACGTGTTTTCTTTGAAATTGAGAGTAAGTGACTTATTTTATGCAGAGATTACAAACCTTTTGTACTATTTTACGTTTTATAAAAAAATCATTTATATAAGTAGGTACAGCTAAATCATCCTGGAAAACCTTGGTTTTTATTAAATTAAATTTTTACCTAATAATAACATTTGTAAATATCAAACAATCAAGAACCTTAATTTGGAAAAAAATAAGGTTTATGATTCATCGATATTTACAAATGTTAAATATTATTTAATGTTATACAAATGTAAAAGTAAAGTTGATCTGAAAACGTCTAATTAGTAAGAATAGCAAAACAAGTGTTTTCAAAAGGAAAAAAACGCCGGCGCTATACGGCGGCGTATGGACAAAAGACTATTTATTAGCGAACTTTTTTTATGCATGAACGGTTTCGAACAGTTTCAAACAAAAATAAATTTTTCATAAATGTATTGAGAGGCCAAATATATAGCATATAGCATTATTTGCTTCGTCATATTTTAGTAATTGTCGACTTAATTTGAAAATTAAAGAAGTGTTATCTGCAAATAATACTATATCATGGTTATCCTCTACTATGTAAGATAAGTCATTAATGTATACAAGAAACACAAGGGGGCCGAGAATTGAGCCTTGATGCACGCCCATTTATACCATCGACCCGGAAGAGCTCATACTGTTAATGACAACTTTTTGCGTTCTCGTACTTAAATATGAAATAATTAATTTAAGAACATCACTTCTTACACCGTAGTGTTGAAGTTTTCTGATTAATGTTTCATGGTGAACACAATCGAAGGTCTTGGATAGGTCACAAAATATTAAAGATATATTTAATCAGCTCAACACCGGCATCAGTTGTTGAGCGACCCCTTGTGAAACCAAATTGATTTTTATGAAGATTTTTTAGTTTTTAGAAGTTATTTATATTAAAGAAATTTAACATTTGATCAAGAATAATTTTTTCAAAAATCTTACTAAATGTTGGTAGTACAGAAATAGGTCTATAATTGGCGGGGTCTAATGTACTACCAAGTTTGAATAAATATATTACTTTACTATGCTTCATTAAATCAGGAAATACACGAGATTCGATACTAGTATTAAAAATAATAGCTAAATGAGGCGCGATTTTATCTATTATAGACGCAATAACTTTAACGGAAATCCCCCACAGATCCGCAGTTTTCTTAACATCAATAGTTTTAAAATATCTTTTGATGACACTTTATGAAATGTAAAGTTCTTTGTACACGCATTTACATTTTGTTTAGGTAATGATTCGGCGACCGCAGGAGAAGAATTCAGTGACTTAGTGGTTAATATCGGAATATCAGTAAAATATTTCTCAAAAACCATCTCTACACCCCCGAGATAATACAGGGTAGTGGATATTCTTACACCGCCACTACACGGTAACATTTTATATATTTATAGGAAAATACAATAAAGTATATTCAAATACAACGTAGAAGTAAACTATAAGGCCGACCAGGAAAATAAGACATTAAATGTATTTTAATAATTTGGAAAAAAAAACATGTGTGTGTGTGTGCGTGTGTGTGTGTGTGTGTGTGCGTGTGTGTGTTTATGTGTGTGTGTATGTGTGTGTGTATGTGCGTGTGTGTGTGTGTGTGTGTGTGTGTGCGTGCGTGCATGTGCGTGTGTGTGTGTGTGTGTGTGTGTGTGTGCATGTGCGTGTGTGTGCATGTGCGCGTGCGGCACGTACCCGGTAGAGCGGGTCGGCGAGGTCCGGGAAGGCGAGCAGCGCGGCGCGCAGGAAGCGCAGCACGTCGTGCGCCGCCGCCTCGCCGCCCTCGCCCACCAGCTCCAGCAGCGCCGGCCACACGCTGCCCGCCACCTCCGGGAACTGCGCACACACCACCCCCACTTACTCACCACCACCATTCCAGTGCAATTTCTAAACTTATGCTATACCTATGGGACGACCATGTAGTCTCAATACGTATAGCAAAAGGCGAACGGCTTCCGACAAATGGCGGATATAACTTGTTTATACCAGACTGACAGATAGATATATTTTTTGGTGGTAGAGCCACGCTGCAATTATATTTTGGTATACAATAAGTCAGTGGCGCACTGTACAGTAGGGTGCGGTACGGTGCGGTACAGCTGGCGGCGCGGGACGCACCTTGAGCGCGGCGCGGTGCATGGCGCGCACGAGCAGCTGGCGGTAGGCGGCTGCGTCCTCGTGCTCCGCGTTGTTCGCGCGCGCCGCCTCCTTGCGCAGCACACCCACCAGCTCCTCCGCGTGCCGCGAACTCACTAGCTCCAACGCTGGACATCACACAACATTTAAACAATTTGGAATGAGACCTACCATTCTTCAAGAGAGCCACGTAGTATTGTAAAGTATTGCAGCATGGTGTTGTAATGAATCGTTAATGCAATACATTAAGGTTTTCTAGTCAAAAATTATAATGTCTTGCGTATTGTTGTGGTGTTGTAGAGAATGTTACGTAGTATTTCGTGGTGTTGTGGTGTATCGTCATATAGTGTTGTGTTGAGCAGTCATGTTGTGCTACGTGGTGTAACGTGGTGGAGCAGTGAGTCGCGACGTAGTACTACGTGGTGTAGCAGTTAGTCACGATGTAGTGTAGCGTGGTATAGCAGTGAGTCGTAATGTATTGTAGCATGATGTAGCAGTAAGTCACGATGTTGTGTAGCGCGGTGTAGCAGTAAGTCACGATGTAGTGTAGCGTGGTGTATATATAGTGTAACACGTATATTTAGTGTAACGTGATGTAACAGTGAATCGCTATGTCGTATTGCGTGGTATAGCAGAATTCGCAAAGTAGTGTAGCGTGGTATAGCAGTGAGTCGCGTTGTAGTGTTGCATAGTGTCGTGTAGCGTTTAGCTCACCTAGCTGCAGCGTGTGTCGCCGCACGTCCAGGTCGGAGGAGGCGAGCACTCGCAGCACGTCCATGGCGAGGTCAGACAGCGCTCGCGTCGCCGCCTCACCGCCCTCTGCACGTAGAGCACTCAGCCGCCCCACCACGATCAGTTTCACGTTGTTATCGCTCTCTTTCACGATCAAGTCGATGTAGCATGCTGCCGCCGCCTAACACATTTTATACAAGTAATACATCTATACTGGATAAATAATCAAAATGCAAATGCGCTGTGTACCTTTTAAACTTTACTCTCGGTATTGTTTTTCGTGTTTGTGGTGTACAATCAAGTGTATATGATAATGATAATAGTAATTGCGGTACCTTGATGGCGGCGGGCGCGTTGGAGAGCGTGACGAGCGTGCCGGCCGCCTCGTAGCGCACGGCGGCGCTGCCCGCGTTCAGCAGCGCGTACACCGTGCGGATGAAGCGCGGCCGCTCCGCCGGGCTCGCGTGGCACACCTGCCGCAACAACGCAATGCACACTCCGCCTACTTGCATATGGTAAACACTACCATAAATGCTCGACAGATCAACTGTAGTGTTAAATTAAAAACACAGAACAAACAGAACACTAATTACAATTTAAAACCACACTAATAATAAAACACAATTGTACTACTGATCAATTTAGTTCGCAATTATTTCGCTTCGAAGTATTCGCTTATATCGCCAATTCAATACCGACTCGGTCGTGGTCTATACCGGCTTTATATAGAGCCTCAGATAGTTTCCAGAACCTTCTACTGTAGAAACATCTAGAATGTTCTAGTACATATCGGTCCTGAAATTTCTAGAAGGATCTTGACTCTCCTAGTTCTGCTACTCGACACTAGAGGGTGCTAGTGGCAACTAGTGTTGCCATATACAAGACATTAATAGTGGCGCGCAACAATAATAACATGCATGTGTAATTTATTCTAAGAAATCTCCAAAAAACATAATGACACACAAAACGTATATCCTCCTTTAAAAAGTACAGGCACGTATAATTTTTTCTTTTTTGCATAGAAACGTGAATCAACCATGAACAAAATATAAAATTGCCTTTATTACAAATCATCATCATCATCATTATCATAACAGCCCTTCACTAGTCCACTGCTGAACATAGACCTCCTCCAAGGAATGACACAAAACACGGTCCCGAGCACCTGCATCCATTGACTTCCGCATCTCTTACCAGGTCGTCACTCTATCTAGTGGAGGGACGCCCTACACTCCGCCTACCGGTACGTGGCTGCCACTCGAGAACCTTTCTCCCCATCAGTTGTCGGTTCTTCGAGCTATATGGCCGCCCCGTTGCTACTTCAGCTTACTAATCCGTTGGGCTACGTCGGTTATTCTGGTTCTACTGCTATATATATTGATATTCTCGTATTTAAGTCTATCACGCAGGGAAACCCCGAGAATAGCCCTTTCCATAGCTCACTGAGCGACCTTGAGCTTCCTCCAGTGAAGACCCATGTCTAAGATCCATAAGTCATCACTTGCAACGCGCTCTGGTTGTACAATCTTTTTAGAGGTTTTGAGGTATGCCTGATGAGAAGATGTATCAATCTCCCGAACGCTGCCCAGCCGAGTTGAATCCATCGATTGACCTCTCGGTCGAAGTTGGACTTACCTAATCGGACTATTTGTCCCACTTAGTGCTTCCAACAACTACCGGCATAAGTGTGACATGGACGTTACACATGATTTTTGTTTCGTCCATGTTCGTCTTAAGACCTATCCGTTGGGTGACACTATTGAGGTCATTGATGCTGAGGTGGATGATGAGGTCATTGATGATATGTATGATTATTTTGTGTTAAAGAAAGCATAATATTTCATGAAAATTCCTCCCCGCAAAACTTCATTAACTCAGTTAACACTAAACCAGTAAGTTCGCGCGGTGTCGTGGCGTCATGTGCAAATATTTACAGACACTTACAAAAACGAAGACAATTTATAATCTAGGAAAATTATTTACGTTATTTAAAAAGAAAACTGTTCTATGACAATGCTGTGTTATATCTGATCTAAATTCGAATGCGTTTTATAATCTCAAATCTATACTATATAGAGAAAAAATATACATAATGAAAGATTGTTAGTATTGATATAAAAAATATGTTTAGGACATATAAAGAGCTTGGAAAAAATGTTTTATGCTATTTGTAATCTCAAATATATAATTACAAATACTACTTATGTAGTTTTATGCTTTTCACCACAAAATTAATACCAAAAATTATTATATTTGTCACCAATAACACCGCACGATTGAATCAACTGTTTTCAAAATGGCATTACTCAATGCCAAAGACAATAAAACACAAGTATTATACATACATACACATAATCACGCCTCTTTCCCGTAGGGGTAGGCAGAGACCAGTTCTTTCCACTTGCTACGATCCTTACATACTTGTTTTGCTTCTCCACTTTCATTATTCCCTTCATACATGCTCTACGGTTTAGGGTACTCTTGACCTGGCCTTTTTTCAAGACGTCCATGATTTGGTCTAGAAATGTCCGCCTAGGTCTACCCCTTCCAACACTTTCATTCACACTCGCCACAAGTATTATACACCAAATAAATCCATCTTCTTTTTTATCTTATTTGTGCGAGCAGCTACTCAAGTCTAGAAAGACCAGTATCACTGCGACGTATAACATTTATTATGATCGCTGCTAAGGCTTTAGTTCACTACTAAGCCCTATGTCTTCAATGATTTGACGGAGTTGCGTGAACAATTTCACTTCTTCTGGGCCAAAGTACATAGTTTCCCAAGTGAGTGTTACGTTTGACCTTTGGGACTTAAAAAATTTATTAACATTCTGTAAAGAATTGTATTAAGCTTCGTAGTTAACTAAAGATGAAGCAGAATCACTTTAAATGTGCACTAACCTTATAAATCAGTTCCACAATTACGAGTTGCAGTATGTCACCGAAGCTTTGTACGCTGTCCAACCTAGATGACAGGTATGAGAGTGCTCGCTCCTGGTCAGTGTGCAGCAGCATCAGGAATGCATTCCTCTTGCAGGACATGTCCTGCTCAGTCTCAAGGAAGTTTGCTATTAGTTCAGGTGCATCAGGAACGAGGTATTCGAAGTTCCTGTGGACAGAGAACACATTTTTAAAGTCAAATATTTGTCATATACTAGAATGACTCGCACGCCGAGGTTTCCGCCTCTCTTAAGTCCCGTAAATATACTGAACATTACAAAACATTCGTTCGTCGTCTAATCAAAAAATAAAACAAAAATCCCAGCAATGTTGTATAATTATATAATTACATTGTCGCATGGTACTGCTTATTTCTTGAAGTACACTCTTCTTGTTTTTGCGGTGTTTTTGTCATTTTTTTTAACTGCAGGGAAAATATGCGTGAATAATCTGACGTTTCTTCGCTGCAATTCTTCTGAACAAATTTGATCCATGATTATTTTGTTTCATGACACAACTGAGGAAACCATTAAATAAAAATAATAATAAAAAATATTAATTTTAATGCATTAACATTTCCTACAGTGATTATATATAAATATTTTACTGTTCATAATTACTTAACATTATACATCGATAGTGTCAAGTCTGTGCATAAAAATGTTTTACTCTTTGACATTCACGTATACGTTGCAGTTGATAAAATATAATTAAATTAAGCGTGTTTTAAAGATAATAATAAGTTTAAATTACTGGTGAAAATTCACTCCTTGACTTTTCCTTATATTTCTCGAGTAGTTTGAACAGTATCTCAATGCACACGAAGGCATATTAATTTAAAAATAATTCTTCACTCTAACTTCTCACGTTGCAACAACCGCTTGACACAGACTAAGTGAGTTTGAGAGCGCGCACTCTAACGCGTGTTACAAACAATCGAGTTGAGGCGTCTTCTCTAGTACGTAGTACATTATATCTCAATGTTCATACTTTAAACGGGCTCATGACCGCCATGATAAAAAAAAATTAAAAAAAAACGACGAAAACACTTCAACGACGTAACCGACTGTCTGTGGGACTGTCTTTGTTACGGCGTATTTAAAATTTTGAATTAAGTATTTAAAACTGTTAACAATTTAAAACGATAACTGTTTACAACAACGAACTATTTACAACTTAAATATGCAATCACTTAAAATAACACTAACACACACTTTGAACACTGTGCTAATGAAATGGATGATATCCAGAAGAATTTAGTAGTTTTTACACACATACTCACTAACTCTGAACTCGAACTGCATAATTGGTGTTAGCGCGTAGATTTCGCTCGAAAAACTCGATCACTGCGTTTTCGTCAGCCGGGCTTATTACTGAATGACCACCTCAAGCACTTCCATCTGACAGAGTGGTGAACTGTCCAAAGTCTAACAGCATTTAGACTAGCAGCAGCAACAGCAGGTTAGTTGCAAACATTGTTCTCCGATTGGGTGGTACACATGCATTAATTCCTCGTCTTTGCAAACGCGGTAAAAACTCTTAAAAAACTTATAAAGCCATGTATCCTTACGTTTTACTATAAAAGTTAGGATTTAGATTTTGTTACCTTTTATGTGCTATTGCCCAAAAATGAAACCGTACTTTTGAGACGACACTGTCTTTGTGAAGAGATCTGACTTTTATGATACATGCACCCCCCCCCCCCCCCCCCTTCCCCAATTTTAGACATGTATTGTAAGATATCATTTATGTGAATCTCATTGTAATGCAGAAATAATTAAAGAAAAACATGTAGTACTAGGTACTATCTTATATTTTTACGCAAACACTACACATTGAATAAAACTACATTTACGAATTTTATCACGTTTAATACTATAAAAAAATCCATAAAAGTAGTTTTATTCAATAGGTCATTCGATTTCCTCACATTCAAATATTTATAAAACTGCAACATTTAAATAATTTACTTCCATTTTTCATTACTTTTACTTCTTTTATTTAACCAGCATGTTTAATAAAAGTGTTTAGGATGGCCTATTCAAAAATAATATTTCAAGTTGGCAAATACTTCACACAAAGACATTAGCCCATGCCCAGCAGTCGATTTCGACAGGCTAATGAAGATTCTTATCTTGAAAAATGGTTGCCAGTAAATTGTGACACTTAAAAAATAAAAATCTCACCTGTAGATGGTAAATATTGCCAGCACTGCATTCCTTCGTACATAAGAGTGGCGATGTTTCAAGCAGGCCTCAATTGCGTTCATTAGAGGCTCCAGCAACTCACGCTCTTTGAGCTTGCACAAAAATCGTAGGGTCGATCCACGAATAAACTCATTGGGATGTTGCAAGTCCTGTTGGTAAGAAGTTACACACAATAAAATGAGGATCTTCCAAACTTGAGGAAGAATTCTTTTGGGTGCTACATTTGTTATGTTGTTTTATTGCAACACAGCGGTAGGCAGATTGTCAACCCCAGTACTACAAATGAGCTTTTGTACTTTGACAGGTTGGAAAGAGAATTTGTGTTTCTTATTGTAGGCTCATGTCTTTAATGTGTTTGTATACATTAATATATGTGCATGTTGAATATAATAGATAAAGGTTATACCAGTGAATGGTGCATTTTATTGTCCTTATATGGGGTCCTTACATTGCTGTGTGGTCTGTAACTGGTCTGGGTATTCTACATCTTGGGTAAACGAGATGGTATACCACCATAGAAAGCTATGAGATTTTTCAAGCATTTCCCATGGCTAGGCAACTAGGTAACTTACTAGTCCCGTGGGACGAAATTGGATGATTAATTAATTTACGTCATCACCACCTGGCTTCTCATTATCATGACTATTTAGGTATTCAAAATGATAATTGGAATAATTTGTCTAACCATAGCTCGAATAACCTACAACTGATGGGGAAGAAAGGTTCATGAGTGTAGCAGGCTCATACCAATAATCAAAGTTTACTTTACACTAGATGGATTCACGACCTGGTAAGTCATACAGGTAGTCCATGGATACAGTTGGCTTAGGATGCATTGTGGTATGCCAATCCCTAAGAGATGACATATGCTCAACTGTAGAATGTGATGTGATGTGGTGTAGTGGTTATATTGATGATGGTAAGTAATGATATTTTGTTTAATTTACAACTTATTGCTAACAGTTCTATTTAGTATCTTTTCAAAGAGTCTTACCAAAGATCTTCTCAACACTTTCCTCACAACCACATATTTAAACTTTTTAAATAAAGTATATATAACCTTCAAGGTTTAATCTATTCTATTAAAAAAAGAATAATTTATATATCTTTACAATTGGAGAAGATAACAAGTAACATACATATAAAAACAGTCTAACTAAAAACCTCCTCTTTTTGAAAAGAGTTCAAATATTTTAGAAGACAAATATAATATTGTAGTAATTCACTTCTTACCTTTCTATAGGCATCACAGACAAGAATCATTTCCTGTAAAAGTTTGCCATCTGGCGTTGTCTTAGGGACAATTTCCCAAAAAATAAGCAAGAGCTTCTTGATAGTGTGGTCCTGCAGGGGCAGCACAAATCTGATAATTGTCATTAGAAGCCCTGGAATCTTCTCACCGGCGAGAATTATACTAATTGCCTTCTTTAATGCTTCAATCTTCTTTTTTGTGTCACCTTTTTCTGTTTAGATAAAACAATGTCTATAGTAAGTTTTTCACTAATCAAAATTGTTGTCATCATCAGCCTTTTCAAGTCTCCTATTGGACATAGACCCATAGCCATAACCATGTAATGGCAGTATAAGATATCCACTGCCCCATGAACACTGAACTGAACAATAGTTCCATGGGTATCGTAAAAGATGACACATGGCAACAGCACCTTCATCAGTAAAAAATAAAAACTATGTTTGCCAACCTGCCTGCAGTTGTGACAACTATGGCAAAATCAATACAATACTAACTTTATTCAGGCATCAAGGACTTTCATTGGTCTATAGCAATATATCATCATCAACATCATCATCATCATCATCATCAGCAATAGCAATATATACTTTAACCTAAATATATATACATAAAACATAAACATAACACTATTTAGGTAACTTTATTCGTTGGCGTGTCCCTGTATCAGCGATATACTACCCCAATGGGTCTGAAATCGAGAGCAAGGAATGTCTCGTTGTATTTCGCAGGTACCTGAAGTATATAGAATTTGAAGTTCGTAGACCTAGAATGCTTTGTGGCATTCTTTGTGGCATTCTTTGAGGGAGGCCTATGTTCAGCAGTGGACTTGTGAAGGGCTATAATGATGATGATGATGAGACCTATTAGATTCCAGATCCGGCTGCAAATGTAAACAGATCAGATCCTCTATGCGGCATTGGCTTCATTCTTCCATGAACATAGGACTAATTCTCCCAACGTTCTTTGGTACAAATGGGAGATGTAGATTACAGACGGGTCTCGACTAAAGCCTCTTCTCAACAAGAGTAAACCAGTCATTTTTGGTCTTGTTTCAGATCACCACAGGAACTGATTTTATATCCACATTGTAGACGTGAAGATTTTCGAGTAACATCTGCAAACATCTTCCTTTGTCGTGAGGTTCAGTCGAGGGCTGAGGCGAAGATGCAACTATGAATGAGGTCACCCTAGTCAAGGTCATCAACCCTTTGACAGTCAGTATCGGGTGTTGGAGGTGCAATCATTTATGAAAAAATATGACTTCTATTATGATTATCGGGTGCATATTTACATTCTGTGACAATGGTGAATTCACAGATGTTGCAATTACATTGCGCAACATATTGACTTCTTTCCACAGCTCCATTGAGGTTCGTTTCTATTCTTCAAATTTGAAACGAATGTCGGCGACATCATCTTTCAATGAGGTGATGCCTTTCAACAATCTGGTCCCATCTATGTGATCGAACTTCACGTGAGGCAGCGTGTTGAGATAATGTGCGACGAGAGGTTGGAACGTCATCAGGGTCAGTCTCATTGAACAGCCTAAAGATGTCCTGTAGGTCTTTCTTACCACGTCCATCCCTGTGACGTGTGATAAGATGGAGTTTGGTCATGACTGAGTCTGCTAACACCTTTTTCGTTTGGACGATCTCATCCTCAGTAAAGCTAGTCTTTATTATTAGTATCTGCTACAGAGACACCTGGTCCATGACATCCAATTTTTGTTCTTCTTCTTCTTTTGTGGCGATTATGATGAATTCACCAATAACATTTTACATGTGAAAAGATTTAATTAGGACACAAACTCTGCTTAAAAAAGGGAAATTGATAATACAAGAAATGGTAATAACAAAATTTATGTGAATGATTTTGGCCAACTTAACTATTGCCAATTTTTGAGCTAGTGGATTATATTACAAATGTATTGGGAGTATTTAGGTTGATGTGCAATTTCACACAAATATTGACAAATACTGTAGGTTCAGCATTAGAGCCACCACATTGTTATGAAGTGACTGCACTGACTGGTAGTCGAATCGCAACACAAATAACCACTATATGAGACAGTCTAGGAAGCATATGTTCAGCAAAATAATGGTATATATTTGCACCTAGTACATTTCTATCTTTTCTGTGATGTTATTGAAGCTTTGCTTGTTTAGAATCTTATTTAATATCATTAAATGTATAATACACCTAAACAAACAAAAATAAACCATATTTTTTAGTTACTCATTACCAACAAATTATTACTACTTACCAAGATCAAGCTTAAGTTGCATGTCATTATGAGGCTCTGCATCGGTCGGGAAGTTAATAAGTGTATAGCATGGTTGTTCCACTCCTGCCATCTTGCTGAAAACTACAATGATAAATTATTACTACAAATTTATTAATATTAATTTATTTTTTTATTAAGCTAAGTCAGTGTTCCACAAAAAAATCAGTGAAAATAAGCCCTATTATGATAAGGAGAATGTTCTTATTATATACAGTGTACAGTACTTCATATGTGGAAGAGCCATGCTGCAGCTATATTTGTAGTATAGTTGTAGCATGTATGGGTCAGCTCAACCAGGGAAGGACCACACTCTCACAGAATACCAGTGTAAAATAGCAGTTTAACACTGCTGTGTTTCATAGAGTGAGTGTAAAGAACCGGAGGCTCTTTTTACTGGAAGAGAGGCATTCCATCTTAGTCCTCACGGGTGACAATGCATCTGCATTTTGATTCTTTATTGAGGATAGATGTGGATGTCTATGGGTCACAGCAACCGCTTACCATTAGGTGGACTGTGTGCTTGTTAGTCACCTTATCCTATAAAAAAAGTGAATAAAATAACATCAGTTTTTTAAAACCTTGTTGTTTTCCTTGTTCTTAGATTCTGTGGTGTGGTCCTTAATCTGTGCTATGGTGTATTTTTTTTGGAATTTAGCAAAAAATTTCTTTTATAAAGCCAAATTAAAAGTACTTTTGAGTAGAATTACTAAATATTTGTGGATTTTGTCATATGGTATGAACTATGAACAATAACCTCTGGAAAACAAACCAAGTCCAGTAATGGTAAGTAAACATTTTCACAATTTACTAACAGAACCAGTTATATATTGTTTTCGATTCTTTAAGTCTGATACTCTTTTGATTCTATTAAATTGCATATTTTAAGTCTTTAAATTCAGCTTTAAAAATCTACATTATCCTTTTCAAAAAGTTGTTGAAGGAATGTTTTTACCTCAATACTCTTTGTCCTGCACGAATGCTGTTTTACTGCTTTCGATTGATTTAAGTGTTTAATATATATTAATAACAAATTACAGCGGTTTTTAATTACATCGAACCAAACAATTGTATTTGATATTGATACGTGTCCACATCCCCACATCAAACTTTGACGTATAGCGGATACTCCTACTGTAACAGATGACATGACACTGACAGTGACTAATAGTGTTGTATCATCAGAAATAAATCAATTTGTTTTGGGTTTCGATAATTCACACATTTACCACATACATATTATAAACTCCTGGACATGATGACTCTCCGTTTGTAGGAAGAATTTGCCTTAATCTTATCTTGCTCGCAATTTTATGCTGGTCCCCGTTGCCGGTCTGGGTTATAATACGAAAAGTGCAAAAAATGATTGATTTTTGTAATTAGTATTGATTAATCAAACCGTTATTGCATCGTAAAGTGCACTTCAACGGGCTAAGTTGGTTGGATTCATTCCTATATTTGTTATTTCATAACTGTAATTGTTATTTTTATGTACAATAATTATGAATAACTTTTAACATGACTTTTCATCAAAATTAAAAAAAAGTATAGGAAATTCTAGGCATAAGGTTGCTACCGATATAAAAATAAGACCATAGAAATTTTTGTCGCATCAGGTCTTATATAGTAAAACGTAAGTCACATTCACTGACTATTAAAACACACATATTCCTAATACATTGTTGGATTCCCAAGAATAATAGGCATATATAATACTCATATATATATATATATATACACATATATACAGGGTCATTTTAATTTACTAAAGACCTTTTAGGAATATATTGGTTACATAATTACAAACAATTTTAGCGAGATCACTCTTCACAGAATATAATACATTTACGAAAAATCTACTTTAAGGTTTTGTTGTCATGTCTGACTCGTTTTAAGTCTGTATTTTGAGTACAATGTCAGAATAAATCGTCAAAGAAAATGCCTTATTTATTTTACACTTGATATTAGTACCAAACATTGTGTTGAAATCATTAAACACAATTACATGAGCAAATGAGATTCAAAAAAATCACAAATATTAAAATTTATAATAAGTAAGTATGACCGCCGGGCCGGTCGACGCCTGCGCTCAGCTGATTGCGTTGCGAGTGCCTACTAAACCATTCATCACTGTGCCTATTGCACCAGGGCACCACTTTAAATGTCTTTACAATAACTTTTCATATACTTCTTTATTTTGCATAAAACCATTTGATGAAATATTTGATTCTTTTATTAATTTCTTTAAAAATTAATAGACATTCTTTAATAGACATTTAGGTAGTTTTTTTTTACGAATACTGTTTGCTGATAGCAACGCCTCAACGTCGCACATGCGGCGGCCCAAGGCCAAGCCAAAGGTATATTATGACGTCGACACAGGTGTCATCGTCATCAAAGGCGCCGCCTGCCCTTTTCGGTTTGCAGCCATCGATTTGGTGATCGATGTTTTTAGCACGTGCAAATTAAATGAGTATTATTAACTATTTTTTTATTTAATGCAAGTTGTATTTAAAAAAATGGATGCAGGTTAAAATAATTACAAATATTACAATAAAATATTTATAATGATTAAATACAAATTAACAGTAATTGAATAAAGATATTAAGGTATAATCGTTCAATAAAAATATTAAAATACAAATTTAAAAATTAGACTTACCTAGGTACTTGTCCGCGGATGGCCGTGAGTATCGCGCACATAGCGTTCAAAATAATCACCTTCACATTCTATGCATAGGTGACACCTAAAACTTAACTATTCACCGACACGAGATAATACTTGATGATTCATTTTGATTTGATCGAATGCCCAAATTAATTTTTCTTTCAACATGTCGCGGGTTTCGAATGCGCGACCAATATACACTAATGTCTTTACATGCCCCCACAAATAAAAATCCATTAGTGTGATATCTGGCGATCTGGGAGACCATATACAAGGCCCGTCACGACTGACCCAGCGACCAGGGTATTCTCTGTTTTAATTAATCCTTAACTTGGCGAGCATAGTGCGCCGGCGCCCCGTCATGTTGGTAATACATATTGCGTAGAGATGCAATTGGTATGTCTTCTAACAATTCTGGCAGCGTGTCAGTAAGAAAACTATGATAGCTTTCACCATTTAATCTTTCTATGAAGACCGGGCCCAGTAACGTTGTATTAATAACGCATGCCCACACATTGACACTAAACCGGTGTTGAAAGCTATGTGGTCTTGGTTCATGTGGATTTTCATAGCACCACAAGTGTTCATTGTGCGAATTAAATAGTCCTATTCTGCCAAATGTTGCTTCATCAGTCCATAAAATGTTAGCTCGTTCAGCAGCTAGTAACTAGTTACAACATGTAACTCGCGCTGGTTTGTCAGCTTCGCTGAGTTCATGAACACGATGCAAGTGTAAAAGGTACTTCCCTTCATTGTGTATGACACTCCATGCGTAGTACTGTGACACATTGAACTGTCGGGCTGCCTCATAAGTGCTCGCCGCTTGGTTTTTGTTCAAAAACTGCAGTATGTCTTCCTCCTCACGTACTATGCGCCGCGGTGGACGACCACGATCGATTGATACAGGCTGGAATTGCCCGAAATCTCGCAATTGCTGTGTAGTACCTAGCATCGTAACGTAGCTCGGTGCACGTGTGTTAGGAAATCGCCTTGAATATTCGCACCATTTCGGTGTACTTACTCAACATTTGAGTATCGGTAAGCCATCGTAACCACGTAATGTTCGCGATATTAATCTCACAACGGAAGGAGAAACCAAAAACACCAAAGGCGACTGACGACACAGGTAATTAGGTCAAGTTCAAATGAGCAAGCGCCGCCTCCTACACCCCTCCACCCTTACCCCGCCACGCGCTTTATTTTGCTATTTAGGATTATTGCCGTTTAGAAGGTCCAATTAAAATATTTTTATTTTTGTATGAAAATAAAAATGAAGAAATATAATTTTTTTCTTATATACATATATATATATATACACACACACATATATATATATATATACACACACACGCATATATATATATATATTCACACACACACACACATATATATATATATATATATAATTTGTTTAGGCCAATTAATTAACATTTTAAAAACTCGCACTCAAGACGCGCGTCAGCGTGTCCTCCCGATGCAATTTAAAGGTCACCGTCGGCCCCCTCTCCCGTGTGGGTCTCTTGGCCGAGCGCTCGGTCGCCTGACGCGTTGGGCGAGGTCAGTTAGTTGGGCGCGGCCGCAGTGTCGATTAGACGGAATTACTATCGAATATTTGGGTCTCGTTAAGACCGCCTCCTTTGCATTGTCTTATTTCGTTCGTATACGTGACAAGAGTATTTCCTTGAGTTTTGAGTAATTAATTTAACTTCGATTGCCATTAATTTGCGTCTACGAGTTGTTGTTTGTGTGGCATTTTAATATCGTACGAAGGAATTTTTGCTTTGTCGGGTGGAACGCTAAAACTTTGTGACTCGAGAGGAAATCGCGTTTGTGCTCGATGATAATTTAGTGCTAAGTGAACCTGGGACATTGAACTTTGACCGACCGTTCTTAAGTTGTGCAGCGTGTCACTTGTTTTAATTTCGATTAACGTTGATTTGGTTGAATTTGAAGTTAATTAAATGTACATAAAGTTGATAAACTAATATAGTGAAATAAAAGCAGAAGGTTTCAATGGGTGAACACCCACTGGAGGGATCGCACATTTTGGAGAAAAGCAGCGCCTGTGGATCTGTTGTCCGATTACATCGGTGACGTCAGGTGACATCTATACACACTTTCACACACTACTTACATACACCTTACTTACCACCTGACTGATACCCTGTGGTCAACCCTACCTCAGGAACTCGGTAAGTTTGTGTTGCTTATCAGCCATTAGTTGATAATAGTCCATTGGCCATTGGGCCCGAACTCTCTGGTTGCCCGTCAACTGTATTACTGATGGGCCCTAATACAGTCGACTTCTCTCTGGGCAACTGAGAGCCGTTACAATATTATATATGCCTATTATTCTTGGGAATCCAACAATGTATTAGGAATATGTATGTTTTAATAGTCAGTGA